TTTATCTTTTTTTAACTTTTCTATATTATTTGTCACTGCCCTAACCTTTATTATTTTCTTTTTTGCATTGAATTTGGTTTGTTTTTCCTTTTCTAATTTCATAAGGTGGAATCAGATACTGCGAAACTTTTTTTGTTCTAATATAGTATTTATAGATGAGTTGTTTTACCTGTATTGTATACATGTTGATTTTTGAGTTTTCATTTTCATTTGGCTCAATGTATTTTCTAAATTCCTTTGTGATTTTTTTGTTAACTTTTGGATTATTTAGAAGTGTGTGGCTGGGTGCAGCATCTCACATCTGTAATCTCGACACTTTGGGAGGCAGGGACAGGAGGATTTCTTAAGGGAAGGAGTTCAAGACCAACCTGGGCAATAGTGCAGACTCCCTCACTACACAAAATTTAAAAATTAGCCAGACATGGTGGTGTGTATTTGTAGTCCCAGCTGCTTGGGATGCTGAGGTGGAAGGATCACTTGAGCCCAGGAGTTAAAGGCTTCAGTCAGCTATGATGACGTCCAGGCAACAGAGCGAGACACTAACTAAAAAAAAAAAAAAAAGCGTGTTGTTTAATTTCAATGTATTTAGGGATTTCTTAAATGTTTCTTCTGCTATGGATTTCAAATTTAATTCCTTTGTAATCAAAAAACATGTTTTATTATTTCAGTATCTTAAAATTTATTGAAACTTGTTTTATGGCCTAGAATATTATAGTCCAGAAGAATGTTCTATATTCATTTGAAAAGAATGTGTATTTTACATTCATTGGGTGAAATAGTCCAAAGATGTCAGTTAGGTCAAGCCGGTTAACAGTGTTGTCCATGTCTTCTTCATCCTTTATGGTTTTTTTTACCACTTGTTCTATCAGTTATTGAGAATAAATTATTGAAATCTTCAACTATTATTGAGTTATCTATTTTCCCTTTTTTAATTCTTTAAATTTTGCTTTGAGTATTTTGAAGTTCTGTTGTTAGGTGCATATACTTTTATATTGTTATATCTTTTTAATGTATTGAATTTTTTTCATTATGATATATTCCTTTCATTTTCTCATAATAGTTCTTGTCTTAAATTCTACTTTTTCTAATATTGATATATCCATTTGAGTTCCCTTAGGTTTACTGCTTGCATAGTAAATATACTTTTTATTCTTTTACTTTGGGCTTATGTGTGTTTTCGAACCTAATATATATGTCTCCTATAGGTAGTAATAATTGAATATTTCTTTTTATCAAGTCTGTCTGACAATCTCTGCCATTTGATTTGGTTATTGAAAGTATAATATTTAATACAATTGTTGATATGGTTGTATTTAAATTTACAATTTTGCTATTTGTTTTTTATATTTCTCCTCTCTTTTTTGTTGCTGCTCTTTCTCTTTAACTGGCTTCTTTTGTGTCAAATGAATATCTTCCAGTATAGATCTTTAGTTTTTCTGATTTTGAGCTATATTATTTTAGTTGCTTTCCTAGTGGTTGCTCTTAATTCCAGTAAAACAGTGGGCCCCTTTTAGGCACCAGGGACCAGTTTCATAGAATGGGAGACAATTTTTCCATGGATGGGGTTGGGGGGGTGGAGTCTGACAGGAGGCGGGGCTCAGGCAGGGATGCAAGCCATGGGGAGCTGCTGTAAATACAGGTGAAGCTTTGCTCACTGGCTCACTCACCCACTCGCCTATTCGCCCACTTGCCCACTGGCTGATCCAGTTCCTAACAGGCCACAGAGCACCTGGGGGTTGAGGACTGCAGCAGTAAAATACAGGAAGATATTGTCAATATTGCTTAATTTTCTTCCACATCCTTTGTCATCTTATTGTCATAGATATTACATGCATATATGTTATAACCTGTCAATATAGTATTTAATTATTATATCAATAATTTTATGTCTTTTAAAGTTATTACAAATAAATTAGAAAATAAACTAAAACATATTTTATATTAACTCACATTTTATAGCATTTCCTTATTTCAGTTTCTTTGTGAATTTGAGTCCATCTTTGGAGGAAGTTTATTTTTTCAACTAAAAATATTTTTAAGAATATTTCTCACAAGATATATTTTTGCCATCTGCCAGCAACAAACTCAATCTTTATGTGGGAATATATTTTTTTTCTTCATTTTTGAATAATATTTTTGCTTTATATAGAATTCTGGGTTTGCAATTTTTTTTTTTCTTTTGGAGCTTTCAACATGTCAATCTGTCCTTTCTGGCCTCTATATTTCATATGAGGCATCATCTATTAGTCACTTTGAAAGCATTCCTTATCTGATGACTGGTTTCTCACTTGCTGCTTTAAAAAAGCTTTCCTTTGCTTATAGCCTTCAGAAGTTTGTCTATGAAGTGTTTATGTGTGGATCTCATTTTATTTATTTAACTTGGGGTTTATTGAGCAAAGATGAGTATATTAGTATTTTTTATAGAATTTTAAACGTTTTTCCCAAATTATTTTTTCATTTTTCTCTGTCTTCTTTCCTTCTGGAAGGTCTATTACATATATTTTGGTACATTTCATGTCATCCCACATCTCACTGAGATGGTTCTTACTTTTTCAATCATTTTCTCTCTATTGTTTAGATTAGAAAATTTCTATAGATGCAACTTCAGGTTCAATGATCCTTTTGTCTGCCATCTTAAGCTCATCTTTACCAGAAGGGCTCTTCTGATAAATATTTCATTTTTTGTTATTTGACTCTAAATTTTCAGAATTTTTATTTCTTAATCATTTCTATCTCCCTTTGAGACTACCTATTTTATGAGTCTTTTTTTTTATACTTTAATTCCTCAAGCATAGTTCTCCTTAGATTTTGAACCTCTTTACGATAGTTGCTTTGAAGTCTTTGCCTCCTAACTCCAACATCTGGGGTCACTTGGGGATATTTTCTATTTATTGTTTTGGTATTTTTTCACGAGCATGGGTTCTACTTTGTTGGTTCTTTGTACATTTTATGTATTTCAGTTGTAAAATAGACATTTTTGATATTTCATTGTTTCTCTGGATTCTCATCCAGGACCTTCCCAAGAAGTTTGTTTTAGTTTTTTCATTTAGATACTTCCCTACGGCTGCTGATGTATCTGCTGAGTTTAATTTTTAAGTGTGGTATCTTAGTTTTCCTTTGTGTGTACACGTATGTTTGATTGACCTCTAAAATCAAATAGAAGTTATGTTTAATCCCCACAAGGCAGTAAGGCTTCTGTCCTGTCCTGATGGATTTATTTTTGGGTTGATGGGTGTATTTAAAGTTCAGGCCATTTTAAAATCTGCCATAATTTATTCACTGACAAGTTGTTTCACTTCTCCTTTCCATATGTGTGTATCTTTAGCATGGCCAGATTGTGTATCACTTTTTTTTTTTTTTTTTTGAGACAGGGTGCTGTGTTGCCCAGGCTAGAGTGCAGTGGCATCATCGTAGCTCACCTCAAACTCTTGGGCGCTAATCATCCTCCTGCCTCAGCCTCCCAAGTAGCTGGGACTAAAGGCATGCACTGCCATACCCGGCTAATTTTTGTGTTTTTTGTAGAGATGGGTATCTCACTGTGTTGCTTATATTGTTCCCAAACTCCTGGCCTCAAGTGATCCTCCCACCTCAGCCTCCCAAAGTGCTAGGATGAAAGGTGTGAGCCACAGCATCCGGCCAGTTGTGTCACTTAATCCTAGTTAAATTAGTATCTGTAATTCTTATTTCCAGCAACAATGCTGTGGTGTTTTTAAGACGGGCATCTGATCCAATGCAGGCAAATGCCATGCAATTCTAAACATTTTTGGTTAAAACTTAAGAGAAATTCTCCTTTCTTCTGGAGTTTTTATCAGGAGATTCAAATTTCCTTCATGTACTGAGAATAAAGTCAATGTAGAGGAATAAGTAGAATTTGGAGAATAGACCAGACCTTGATGACAAGCTTTGAGCTTCAAAATTCAGCTACGATTGAAGTTGTAATTGCTCTTTCCAAAATCCTTTTTACCACTTAATCTAGTTTCATTTGATTTATGTCATATATGACATAAAATTTCTGATATTAATGAAAAAAGCAAAAAAGTGTGTATGTGTGTGCCCAGCTATTGTCCTAGTTCTTGGAGAAAACTTACCTGAAGGAAGTAAATCTAGGGGAAAGGACACCAAATACATTGGTACCAAACAAAACAATATCTGCGATGATAAAGATGTCTAGATGACCTGAAGTCATTAAGGATGTAGATTAAACTGGCCTGGTAGAGACTGGAGTTCAGGGTAAACATTGTAGTTTTTAGGACAATGACTAAGTAGATATCAGTAATATTATGGACAATGACAGAAAAATGTGTGGTTGGTGCTACATATTAGACACCTTGAGCTGCTGGTCCTTGTGGCTCCTTCTTTATTGAATATATTAAACTGCATTTAAGCAACAAATCTGAGTAAAAATTGAGAGTTGGAAATCAACTACGCATATGTGTGTGTGGAATTTGAGGGAGTGGATGAGGTCAATTATAGTTAATGTATAGATGAAAAAAGAGTGGCTGGAGAAACATCTATACTTGTTTAGTACACTCGTTTGTTTGTACCCTTGGGAAAAACCATGTAAACTTCCTGAGGACTATTATTTATTCATCTTTAAGTCTCCAAAACCTCGCATAATGCCTGGCAAGTGATAGTGAATCATTTTACACATCTGTTGAATAAATCAAAGAACCATGAATTATTGAAACATCTCATGGGGAACCATATATATTTGGATAAAAAAATTGGGGGCCTCTTCTTTTCTCTTGTAAACATGCCCCATCTACAGATATCAGAAACCCCTTCCTCAAGGATGAAAGCTGTTTCTCCTTTTTAGGGAACTTGATAACCTCACATGAGTCTTCTGAGTGATTGCTCTGAGTCTTATCTTTATTTATTTGTCTTTCACGCTGGAACCATATGCATTCTCAGCCTATCAGGGGCTAGTGGAAATGTGAGGAAGCTTGGTGAGGGAAGAGAGGCTACTATTTCTTAATTTATGTTTTCTCTTTTCTCCCTAGGATGTGAATGACATCATAAAAAGGTATGTGTGGGAGATTAGAGATGGTCCTTTTGCGCAGTGAGAAGAAATTTGTAGGCATTAGAACTGTCTGATGTTCAATTATAATAAAACATGTCCCAGGGAGAAAAATTTAGATATAGTGTTATCTTAAATTTCTGGTCACAAGTCAGTATTTGAGTGTTTTATAACTATTGAGAATAGACCAAATTCTACGATAGGAAATTTGGGTGGTGGGGAGTCACAGAGTTTGCATCAGTAGTGGTATTAGGGATAAGGTGTTGCAGTATCAGATCCCTGTTACATCACCATTTTATTACCTACATCTCACTCTGGTTCTATATTCAATAGGTGCTTGACTTATTGTGGGAGAGATGTATCTTCTTTTACTATCGAGTACCCAGATATGTCCATTGGGATAATTTCTCTTTATTTATATTTTTCTCCTGGGAATAGAAGAGACCAGGTCCTTCTTTATGGTTCTATTTAGATTTCCAAAAATTAGACTTAAATTTCTGTGAGTAATATTTTGGTTTTGGTGTAAATAATTGATCCATCTTGTTCACATACTTCAGAAGAGTATGGAAAGGTGGTATCCTTGTGTTTAAAGTTGTACACACACCTGGCAGTAACAATCTCTTCCAAACACATAAAATTCAGACCAGTATTAGTTTGGTGCTCATGATATCTCATTTGCTGAGTGTTTATAATTTTTCCCAGACAACTTGAAACCTCAGATGTTATCTGAGAACCTCCTGACTAGGTTTTGAAGATCTTGGGCTTCTCCAGATAGGGTTTCCACACTTAATATGTCTCAAACACCCAGAGGCCAGGTTCTGCAACCTCACTTTCTGACCATCTCTCTGGGAACTCGCATCCATAGCAATGATGTTTCCACACATTACATGTTCTTATTTTTAGCCACGAAAATTTTGTTTTGTTTTGTTTTAAAATTTATTATTTTATGATTTCTTATGAGTTCAAGGAGGTAGAGAGGGAGAGGCTAATTATTTCATTTTAGAAGGAAAAACTGTGCTTCTGAAGAAGTTAAGACATTTCCGCGGTCACACAGAGAATAAGTGGAAAGGTGGACATGAGCACATTTCATCTGGTTCCAGGGTTGGGAGTCTGTTCTCTCCCTTCTCAGGATCTCCAGGGTAGAGAGTTCAAGTGCATTAATGGGGTGAAATGATAGAAAGTCAGTGGTGTTCAAAGGACACAAGGTCAGAGGTACGGGGGTCAATTTTTTTCATTCCTAGAAGTGAGACCTTGACCTTGAAGACACCAAAAACTTTTCCCGAGAAGCAAAGGAGAGTGTTTCAAGCTCCTGATCTGACAGGAATGCTGAAAACGTTTAAAGGTGAGTAGAGCTCAAATGTGTGGCTGTGGGATTCTAGTGGTGGCAACGGCTAAATGGGGGAGAGGGCACAGTTTCTAGGTGTGGATAGAAGAGATAAGGGAGAACTGATATTTTGTGCTAATAATGTGGTCATATTTAATGGGCAATGGCCAAGTGCCTGGTTCATCCTCTCATTCACAAGTTTGCTCTCCTACGATAGTCCCCTATTCTTGCCCTAATCTATAGGAGAGAGGGATTTCTGTGCTGACTTCTTTGCTTGTATTCAATATTTTTTTTTTTTTTTTTTTTTTTTTTATCATTTCAGAGCTGCAAGATGTCCAGTGCTACCGGGGTAAGGAGAAATCACAGTATCACAAGCTACCCTGTTGTCGTTACCTTTCAGAATTTTTTGTTCTCTAGTAGGTCTCATGTTTTAAGATCCATGTTTCTCCTTGTAACACACACATACCTACCCCTCCCTATAACCTGTGAACAAGGTTCTTCTTAGGTTACTCTCAAGTTCTTCTGAAGATTCCTCTCATAATATCACCAGTAAAGCAATATCATATCCCTCATCTGACCCTTTAATTTTTTCCACAGTTTATGTGACATTGGCTCCAAGCAACAATTCAAATGTTGTCATTTCTCCAGATAAGAGACAAGTGGTATCTTTGTGCAATCCGAGGTCTTCTGATTGTTATTATGGCATCCTGGGCTCCCCAGTTATCACATCAGGGAAACATTACTGGGAGGTAGATGTGACCCAAAAAAGTGCTTGGATGCTGGGTGTATGTGTTGAACAAACCCGCCAACAAAAGGTTATGTATGGTAATAACTTTACAGGAAATTATCAACCTCAAAATGGGTATTGGGTTATAGGATTGAAGAATAAATTTGAATATAATGCTTTTCAGGATTCGTTCCCTTCTAATTTCCATTCTCCTTCTGGTCCTTTGATCTTGACCCTCTCCCTGACTGTCCCACCTAATCGTGTTGGCATTTTCCTAGACTATGCAGCTGGCACTGTCTCATTTTTCAATGTCACAAACCATGGGTTTCTCATCTATAAGTTCTCTACACGTTTTTATTGTCCTGTTCGTCCATATTTCAATCCTATGGCATGTCAAGTCGCCATGACTCTGTGCTGACCAAGCCCTTAAACCTTCTTACACGCTCAGCCACTTCTGTGCAGTGCCTCTTACCCTGGGTGCATCTCATACACCTGAACTCATCTGTGCCATTTTGACCATCTTTTCCTTGCTGTCTCCCTTCTTTCTATTTGAACTTCCTTTACTTAACAATAAGATGTACAGACTGCCTTGTGCCATGTCCTTCCCGGTATTTTATTCACATATCATAGCAAATTTGATTCAACATTTTCCAAACTCCCAAGAAAAAATGACTGAGCCTTCATAAAGTAAGATTAGTATTGAGGTAACACCTTTGCCAAACCTTTATAACCCAATTCCTGACACTGACTAAGAAGATAAAGGAAAACTTTTCAACAACCTCTCCATATTATTGTGTAGGAGTCACTAACTAAAGAATTATCTCTTGGCAGTGTGTCAGTTTCCTCATGATGCCCCTTATTCATCAAAGAATTAAGAAGAAAATATCATAAATAGTATGCACTAAGAGTAGAGGTTTTGTATCCAGAGTATCTGAGTTCAAATCCTGTCTCTCCATATACTAGCAGTGCAATAATCAATAGCATACTCAAATGGCTGTGCTTATTATCTTAAAATAATTTTGTCATTAAAAACTTCACCTAAAAATAAGATCTGGTATTCTACTGCATAGTAGCGTGACTAGAGTTAACAATAACATATTGCATATTTCAAAATAGCTAGAAGAGGGAATTTTGAATGTTCTAATCACAAAGAAATGACAAGTGTTTAAAATGATGTATATGCTAATTACCCTGATTTGATAATTATACAATGCATACCTGTATGGAAACATTATGCTGTACCCCATAAATATGTAGAATTATTGTGTTTCAATTAAAAAAATAAAACTTAAAAACAAAACTTCACTAAATACTTTGAATCATTATGCAAAAATGAATTCATGAAGTATAAAGCATCTATCTAAGTGTCTCAACTTAATAATAAGTATTTGCTCTACTAATTACTGAAAAATGTAAGCTGTATTAGTGTATCATGGAACAGGTTGTGCTTTCAGGGCAACTAGGGTTGGATTTACTGAATTCTCATTTTTTAGGTCTCAGATACCACTGTTAAGACTACTCTAGTTCTGCCTTTGGTACACACACACACACACACACACACACACACACACACACACATTGAGAGTTTTATTATAATTCTGGTGTTGCTATATATTAGCCATTATCAAGTAAACTAAATTCTATGGGATTCAGTTTATTTGTAAAAATAATAATGAAATTTACCTGATGTAGCATTGTAAAAATTAAACAACAGAGTATTTTTAATAAATTCTATCAGTTTTAGCACATAAGCAGTAATCCAGTAGGGTGTCTATTAGTTTTGATTGCCTCTCACTGTGACTGAAGTAAATGATTTTAAAGAATATGTAACAGTTTACTTTCAAAATTATTACCCTCACTTTTTTTTTTTTATTTCAGCAAATTATGGGTGTACAGATGTTTAGGTTA